CCATGGGGTTCCCACTGACACCCCTCATCCTGTTTCGCAAGGGTTCCATGATCAATAGAAAACCATTATCCTGCTTCCAGGATGACCCCGAGTCATGGGGTCCCACTGACACCCCTCATCCTGTTTCACAAGGGTTCCATGACCAATAGATTCCCCTCATCCTGCTGCCAGGACCATCCCCAGGAAGGGCCCTTTCTCCCAGCAGCCCAGGGTGCCTCCCCTTGTCCAGCGTGGGGGGACCCTCAGGATGGGTGTTGCCCCTGCCTCACTGCYATGACCCTTCTGGGGCTGTTTCCTGTGTATCCCCTTATCCTGCAGGAACCAGCACACTCCCAAGAATCCCATCTCAAGAATCCTCCAATACCGGCTGGGCCAGATCCTGCCCCGGAGGTGTCACCCCTTCCACCCTGCGCAGCAATCCCCCCACCCTGCCCCGGGGCACCCCGCCGTGCCACGCACCTGGGCATCCTCGCGGCCACGCACCTGGGGTGACACCAGGGCAGGCACGTGCCCCGCACCCCCAGACCGGAGTGTCCCCCCRCCCAGGCATCCTGGCACATCCCCCGGGCCGGGAAGGGGAAGCGAAAGCAGCAGGGCCCAGCAGCCAGTGCCACGGGGCACCCCGATGAAGCAGCACGCACTTGGCGGTCTGGTGGGAGCGCTGGGAAGGTTGGGGAGGCACAGGGAGGCTGGGTGGGAGCCTTTTGGGGGGTCTGTGCAATGTGGGAGCTCTGGGTGCTGCGCGGCGGGCTCTGGGTGCTGTGCGGGTTGGAGTGTGGTGGGTGCTGCGGGGTTCGGGGTGCTGAGGATGGGGGTTGCTGGGGGGCACTGGGGAGTGCGGGCAGGGTCCGGGGGGGTCTGGGACCGGGGGAAAGCGGGGGGGTCCGGGAACGGCCCCTTTAACCACCTCCGTCCCGCCCGCCCCGACCGAAAGAGGAAGCGGCGCCCGCCCCGCCCCGAGAAGCTCCGACACCCGCGAGCGGGCCTGGGGTCGGGCGGTTCGGAGACTTGGGGTGTTGAGCCCAGAGGTGCAGTTCTGGGGGGTGCAAAGCTGGGTAGGAGGGCGCGGGGTTCAGGCGTGCAGAATCTGGGGGTGTAGGGGTGCAGAACACAGGGGTGCAAACCACGAGTGCAGGATATGTGAGTGCAGAGCACAGGGCTTCAGGCTTGGGGGTGTTCTGTATGTGGGTACATGGTGCTGAATATAGGGGTGCAAGGGTTGGGGGCGCTGGGCATGAGGGTTCAGGGTTTGCATCTTCAGGACAYGGGTGTAAAACATATGGGGGCAAGACTTGGAGTGCCAACAGGGTCCCCCTCACCTTGACACCATCCAGGGCCCTGCAGGAGCAGCAATGGAGAAGGACTCTGATTGCTGCCAGGATGGGGCMAAGACGCTGCCGGGTGCTGGGCTGGGCACTGAGGGGATGGAGGCACAGGTGAGACCAGGGGGACACCCTCACGGGGGAATCGAGGCCTGTGGTGGCCATCCCCAAGGGCTGACAGGGGGGTCATCCACAGCTGGATGATTTTGTGGGTGCTCACCCTGACTACAATGAGGAGGAGGAGGAGCAGAAGTACTTCCGCCGCAAGCGCCTTGGCGTCATCAAGAACGTGGTGGCCACCAGCCTGGCCGGCACCCTCACTTACGGCGTCTACCTGGGTATGGGCCCTCCCAGGGACTCCCAAAACAACTCGGGGTGCTCAGGGCATGGGGTGACCACSCCTGGATCCCCCAGGCCTGCTGCAGATGCAGCTGATCCTTCACTATGATGAGACMTACCGGGAGGTGAAGTACAGCAACATCCAGCTGGAGGACATCGACCGCAAGGTGCTGATGGGCATCAATGTCACACCCGTGGCGGCGCTGCTCTACACACCCGTCCTCATCAGGTACAGCCCCACCGGCATGCGTGCTCCCGGCCGGCATGGGTCACCGGCATGGCCACCCATGCTTCCCGCTCCTCACCCCGGCAGGTTCTTYGGCACCAAGTGGGCCATGTTCCTGGCAGTGGGCATCTACGCCCTCTTCGTCTCCAGCAACTACTGGGAGCGCTACTACACCCTGGTGCCCTCTGCAGTGGCCATCGGGGTGGTCATCGTGCCCCTCTGGGCTTCCATGGGCACCTACATCACACAGTAGGCATCAGGAGGGCACRAGAGGGGCACAAGTGGTGACTTGCCAGTGGCTGACCCGCTGCTCCACACAGGATGGGCCAGAAGTACTACGAGTACGTTAACTACAAGGAGGAGCAGGAGAAGAAGAGGCAGCAGGTGCCACGGGAYGCCTGCAAYACCTACATCATCGTCTTCCAGACCRTCTTCTACTCCTGCTTCCAYGTGAGTGCYGGTGGGATGGCTGGGATGGGTTGGAGGTCGCACTGGCAGTGCTGACTGTGTACCCCTTGCATCCCACAGTTGAGCTTCGTCTGCGCTCAGATGCCCATGGTCTTCTTCCTCAACAACTACCTCTACCAACTCAACCACACGCTCCACGCGGTGAAACACTGCGGTGAGGCTGCGAGGGGGGCTSTGGGGCAGCAGCGAGAGACCCCCAGTTGGGATTAACCATGGCTTGTGTCCCCCTGGCAGGGACCCTGAGCCACGGCACGCTGCCCGGCTTCAACAATACRGTGCTGCAAAGCCTTCCCCGTAGCGTCAACCTCATCATTGTGGAGAGYGCGCTGATGGCTGCCGCCTTCCTCKCCATGCTGGTGGTGAGTGCYGGGGCCRTGGGGACAGGGATGGGCCGGAYGATGGCAGGACCTCACCCACCGGCGCTCCGCAGGTGYTGGTGCTGTGCGGTGCGGCGTCCCGGCCCATGGAGGAGATCGACATGCGCAGCATCGGCTGGGGCAACATCTTCCAGCTGCCCTTCAAGCACATGCGGGACTATCGCCTGCGGCACCTCTTCCCACTGTTCATCTACAGCGGCTTCGAGGTGCTCTTTGTCTGCACTGGATTCTCCCTGGTAGGATCTGGGATGGGGTGGGAGGTGACAGAGTGGGGACAGGTAACGCTGAGCCCATGCTCGCTGCAGAACTACGGCGTGTGCGCCCTGGGGCTGGAGAAGTTGGCGTATCTCCTCATGGCCTATGGCTTCTCCGCCTCGGCGTGCTCCAGCCTGGCCCTGTGCATGCTGCGCCTGCGCCGGCACGTCCCGCTCCTGGCTGGAGCYTTCATCCACGCCATCCTCCTGGTGACGCTCTTCTGCTGGGCACCAGAGCCCCGGTACCTGGCRCAGGCGCCGCTGCTCTACGGCATTGCCGCGCTCTGGGGCACGGGGAGCAGCCTCAATAAGACCGGAATCAGCAGTGAGTAGTGGGCAGGTCTGGAAGCAGCCTCGGTAGTCCCCAAAATAGCCTGTGTTGTCCCCAAAATAGCCTGTGTTGTCCCCAGTTTTTCCACACATCCTCTCCTCATATCCTCTGGCACTGCAGCTTTGTGATGCCACTGTGATTGTCCCCCACCCCACGGGGACGTGGCACAGGAAGGGAACGCTGATTCTGGTCTCTGCCACAGTCCTCCTGGGAATGTTGTACAAGAAAAAGGAGCGCCAAGACTTCATCTTCACCATCTACCACTGGTGGCAGGCCTTGGCCATCTTCACKGTCTACCTGTGGTCAGGGCTGCCCATGAAGGTAAGTCCCAGATGTGCCCCAGCCCAGTCTAGGACATTACAGGCTTTTTGAGGGCACAGAGCCACACCAATTCCAAAACTCCCTGTGCCACAGGCCAAGCTGTCCATCATGCTGCTGACCCTGGTGGTGGCAGTGGGGACGTACCTGTGGATGGAGCGGAAGGTGGCGCAGCACGTGGAGGTCCGGCTGCCCCGCATCCCGCGCCCGCGCCACAAAATGCATGGATACCGCTACCTAGAGGACAGCTCGGATGAGACCGGCTCCGATGGCGATGGGGACAAGGAGGACAAGGAGGACAAGGAGGACGATGACAAGGGCTCGGCCGAGGCTGCCAGCAGGGATGAGCTGCCAAAAGAAGATGGGGAGCAGCTGGGTTAGGGGCAGCCCAGCCTGGGCCCCATCCTGCTCTTGGCACCTSAGGGGAGTCCTGCACCACTCCCCCCCACCCCTGCCGAGTGGGCACAAAATTCCATAGATCCCCTCAGGTCCGCTTTGCATCCCCCCTAAGCTAAACCTGAAACCCCCAGCCCCCTACACTGACTGACAGATGCCCAGATTAGCCCATAGATGCTCCAGGTCAGGCCCACAACCTCCAGATTGACCTACAGCCCCCAGGCAAACCCACTGCTCCCCAGGCCAGGCCCACTGTCCCCTAAATTGGGGTCCAGTCCTCAAGGCAGGCCCWTAGCCCCCCAAAGTGTGATGCAGTCCCACAGGTCAAACATGCAGACCCCCAGCCCAGCCCCAGAGCCCCCCCCTCCCCGCAAATCCACAGCTCTGTAGATCAGGCTCACACCCCCCAGGCAGATCCACAGCCTCCCCAAATATGGCCAAAGTCCCCCCAGATCAGAGCCACAGACCCCCGAGGAGATGCACAGACCCTCTAGCAAGGCCTGCAGCCCCCCACAATGTCCTGCAGACCCCAGGCAGGCCCCCAGCCCTCCCATTTTGGTTCCCAGGCAGACCCCCCACCCCCCGCAGGGCGACCCTGATCGACAACCTCCCAAACTGGGCCACAGCCCTAAGGACCAGACCCACAGGCCCCCCAAGGCAGAACCTGCAGCCCCCCCSAGGCTGGCCCGCAGCCCCGCTAGCTAAGCCTGCAGCCCCACGGCCCGCCCCGCGGACTTCCCGATCCCTCCCGTCCCCATTTTCCCTCAATAAACCCCCTCCCTCCATCTCCTCGGCTCTCACCTCCTCCATCCTCGGGCCACACACCCTCAGCGMCCCCTTCACGAAGGGGAGACTACAGCTCCCGGCGTGCCGYGCGYCGCGCCCGCGCGGTGTACGCCGGGAGTTGTAGTCCCCGCCACGTGGACGATGCCTCCATCTCCCCACTCGAACCACAACTCCCGCAACCATTCTGGTGTGGCGCCATCATTGCCCCCCCCCACTTCCGCGCATGCGCGGTGCGGGCTGTTGTTGTGGCGGCGGAGCCACAATCCTCACCCGGGCGGGAGCGATGAGCGACAACGATGACATCGAGGTGGAGAGCGACGTGAGTTGGGCCCCCAACCCCGGACAATCCCTGGGATAATCCCCCGTGGCCCTTCCCCACCTTAGGAGCGCTGGGAATGGGGTAATGTTTGGTTTGTATGTGTTCTTCCTTCATATGGCGGCGCCCCCCCCCCACCATCTTCTTCCTCTTCCTCCTCGCCCGGGTCGGGGCTCCTCAGGAGGAGCAGCCGAGGTTTCAGTCCGCGGTAGGTCGCTGGGGGCCGCCCCGCAGCGCCCCCGGGATCGGGAACACGTGGGCGGGGGTGTGAGG